CTCAGGCAATCCACTTACCTCAGCCTCCCAAAGTGCGGGATTACAGGCTGAGCCACCGAGACCAGCTAGAGCATTATATTTCAAATTATACTTTCCAATTGAAGCATATATTAAAATATTAATAAAATTATTCATATCTTGATTGAAATCAGTCTTTTAATTGATTAAGCTATGTCTTTGTCAACTTTTTTGATGTTTAAGAGTTTATGTAAAAAATGTAGAAGTATTTTTATATCTTCTTTTGTGAATTATAGCCCAAAAGATATATATATATACATATACACACACATATATCTCTCTCTATATGTATAGCATATAACATATATTAAACATGCTATATAATTAGTACCCAATTAAATGATTTATACAAATGTGATTATGTCAGTGGAAATGCTGTTTTAGGGTTCGTCGGATATTTGTCAACGAATAATTGGACATGACACCAGACTCAGAACAAGGCAGAGTTTTATCACAAGCAAGTAAAGTAGAGCAGAGTAAGCTAGTCTACTCCTAAGAATTAAGAAAAGTGGACTGGTCACAGAGTGAGACAGTTCCGTTTATTGCTTTGGTTTGGTTTTCATAGTTTTCTTTGTCTTGGTCTCTGGTCTTGATTGTTAGTTCCCCCTTGGACTTATTTTCCTTCTTTATGGTTAGGTTATAATTCCTTCATGTGATCCTTGATATGAACTGATGTTTAGATATTGTTACTTCTACTTTGTTAAAGTTACAAGTGTCTTTAAACAATTTTGGGGTTATGCATCTCCTATCTTTTCATGGTTTATTACTCATATATGCAATGAGCTCTAGTTTACAAGATTCAATTAATAATTAACATAAACGTAAGTCTGAAACTATCATAAAGGAAAGAGTTTTTCTGTGTTTTTTTTTAGGATTTTATTTTTTATTTTTTTTGAGTCGGAGTCTCGAGAGTTTCAAAAGAGTCCAACAAGATTGCTCCTTAACTAGGTTTGCAGATGTTTCTTTAAAGACATGTAGCTTCCACACACCTCTTGGTTATTAGATGGCTTCATATGTTAGATTGTCCTCTCTCAAACATTAGCAGTGATTTACTAGACACAGTTGGCCTCCCTAACAGTTTACATTGAGAAAGGGGGAAAAAAACACATTCCTAAGGACAGAAAAAGAAAACAAAAATTTAAATCCAAGCAGGTTTTGTATTTCGCCCAGTTCATTATGAAAGAAAATTTGTAAAATGAGTAAATAACTTAATGTCAGCTGGCTTTCCATTTCTTACCCTTTTCCCTCTTTGTCCCCTGTTCATGTCTGCCTAACTACCTTACAATTAAAATAAAATATGTTTTATAATAAACAATGTATGCAGGGCAAGGTAGCTCATGCCGGTAACCCCAGCACTTTGGGAGGTGAAGGCAAGAGGATTGTCAGAGTCCAGGGATTTGAGACTAGCCCAGGCAACTTGGTGAGACCTCGTCTCCACAGTAAATTAAAAGCTTAGCTGGTCATGGTGGTGCACGCCTGTAGTTTCAACTACTTGGAAGGTTGAGGTGGAAGAGTCACTTGAGCCCAGCAAATGAGCATTCCACTGTACTCCTGCCTGAGACTTCGACTCAATAAATAAATAAAGTTCAAAAAGTGTCAGAATTAACCTATAAACCCATAGGAGTAATGTCTTGTTAATTACTTTGCCTTGAGCATGCCACTGTACTCCTGCCTGAGACTTCGACTCAAATAAATAAAGTGCAAAAAGTGTCAGAATTAACCTATAAATCCATAGGAGTAATGTCTTGTTAATTACTTTGCAACCTATTATTTTTTAAAAATCTAAATATTATTTTTTAAAGAATGACATTTTAGCCGGGCTCGGTGGCTCAGCCTGTAATCCCGTGCTTTGGGAGGCCGAGGTGAGTGAATTGCCTGAGCCTGTGGGTTCGAGACCCACCTGGGCAACTTGGTGAGACCTCATCTCTACAATAAATCAAAAAAATTAGCCAGGTGTGGTAGCGTGCGCCTGTAGTTCCAGCTACTTGGAAGGCTGAGGTGGAAGGATCACCGGAACCCAGCCAGCAGATTGAGGCTGCGGTGGCCGAGAGCGGCCACTGCACCCCAGTCTGGGATACTGAGTGAGACTCCAACTCAAAAAAAAAAAAAAAAGAATGACATTTTAAAATTTCTGGTAACTTAAGTAATATAGTCTGATGAAAAGAGATCTTCAATAATCTAAAGACCAGATCCAAAGATCTAGTTGATAACTTAGGAAAGTCATTTAATTTTTCCATTTGCAGGTTGGTACAAGTAATAATTCTGTCTCTTGCTTTTGACACAAAACTGTGGGACATTAAATAGGATTAGCATTTTCATAAACAGGGAAAATATCCCGGTGGTCAAGCCCTAAATAAATATTAGTGAATGATTGAGCACAGTGCTACATGAGGAAACCAAGACTCAGCAAAGTTAGAGAAATTTGCCTGAAGTCACTTATGTTGTGAACTCAAAACCCTGGAATCTAAGTCAAAGTCTTTAAACCGCCATAGGAAAGTCTGAGAAAATCAAGAAATAAATCATGGCCGAATTTTACCAACATTTAATGTTGTTTATTTAGTCAAAGTTGTAGCTTTATCTAGCTGAATAAAGACCACGGATATCAGACTTACTTGCAATAATGTTACATAAAGTTTCTTTTAACTTTGCCCAGGGAACAAGAAGTCTGTGTTCTGAGATTATTGGTAAAGTCTATTCTGATGTAATATTTGAATAATATTTAAGCAGAATGGCAGTCACAGGAGAAAGTATTGATTAATACAATTGAATTACATTCTATTGGCTAGGAGTAAAGTAATATGCTGAGTTTTGTTGTTGTTGTTGTTGTTGTTTTGCTTTTAAATTCTAAGGATTACAGTGATTTCACTTGGACTCACACAGCAAAGTGATAAACTGGCTGAAGCAAATAAGATTTCTATAGTGTTCCCTTAGAGCATATTTGGAGAAGTTGGGTGTTAGGAGATTAGCAATATATGTAAAGTCTATTACCTGCAGCCCAAAACAGAAGACCAGAGATAAGGAAAGATACTAGGATTAGACTGACATTGCTATTGCTGGTGTTGCAAAAACATTACTAAATTGATTCATTATGACTACAGGTAATGTTTAAGAAAATCCTTCCACTAACTTAAATGGTTAACATTTATCTGTTATTGAGAAAGATACCAACCTCAACAATTACTTTACAACAATTACAAAAAAAATGTGTGCCTGACATTGAGATTTGTTGCATTTCTGAACCCACTTTATATTCACGAGAAACAAAAACATAATGAAAAAATTTTTAAATAACCAGTATTTTAACTTCTCGTGAAGTTTGGGACTTCAAAGTATCAACCAAAAATACTGAAAATATATTGACTCTCACTTTGGTCAAATTACTTTTTAGCATCTGCACTTGAAATCTTGTGAATTAGGAATGTCTACATCTATAGCTATAGAATAGACGTAAGTAGAGATTAAGACTTAATGGCAAAAACAAATATAATTCATCAACATAAAAAGAAGACCAGAAAAATTTTAATAATAGCAACTAACATTTACTGAGCATTTACTATGCACCAGACCTTAGGCTAGTGTTTTACATCTCTTAATGCATTTACTTTTACCACAATTCTATCAACCAGATGGTATTATCTACCTTTTTGTTGGTGAAAGCACCTAGGTATAAACAGGGCAAATGGACTTTCTCTAGGTCCCAAAGCTGGTGGAGTCAAGGTCTGAGCTCAGGCTGCCTAACTCCAAATCCCATGCTCTCAAGTCTACTCCATATTGCTAAAGCAACTTTGGATTTCCATAATATTAGTACCATTATGATAAGCAGGAATTTGTAAGAGGCCTATATAATAATCTTCCTCATTCCAAGTTTCTGAAATATACCTTTAGACCAAATCATTTAGTATCAAGCAACTGTGGGATTCTTACACTTGGCTTATGTGCATGTACACACACAAATACACATGATATTACTAACTTGTAAATACAGGCTCAGCAGGTGGAAATGTGCAAAAGATCAAATAGATAATGAATGCATTGAAATAAACACAACATACTTCAACTGTTTCTACCTTTCCCCCTCGATTCTTGTATTGAACCAACTATATTACAAAGAATCTAGTAGTATATCCTTCCCTTTTACACTTGTAATTTCTGCTTTTTAAATTTTGTGTATTTTTATATTGCAATAAAGTCTTTAACTACACAAAATAATGCATTATTATCAAGAACATAAATAATAGAGCAAAAATGAAAGTTCTCCCTTCCTGCCTGCATTCTCACTCCCCTTCCAACTTGATCATCCCTGTATGTAACCACCAACAGGATTCATATTTACAGTTTTCATTCTGGCTCACTTTTCTGCAGCTATATTGTTGCTTTTGCTATTCCTCTATTCTTCACACATAACAAGCACACTTCTGACTTGGGGAATTTTGAACTTGCTGTTTTCTCTTTGAAAATGTTCTCATCTTGTGTCTTCATCTCATCTATATCTCTTTCAGTGTTACCTCTTCCTTAAACACCTGATATAAAATACCATTCTCTATACATAATTTCTTAAGCAGCTTGATTTTTAATAGCATTTATCACCAGC